TATTTCAGCAATATCACACATTCTTAATGAGTTGTGTGTTTCCGAGAAGCGTTTGTTGCTAGGGCGTTGTGTATTGTATCTATTTACCGACCACTGACTGTAGGGGTATTGCGTTGTTCAGAATCAAGGTAAGACTAGATTGAGACAATATCGTAGTAATGAAATGTGATGCACGAACATTCAGATCGCGACAGGCCACATAACATTTGATCACACATTTATTTATTTACGTACTGAGTAAAGGTCAGACACAGAATATCATTTCAATGCATCAAAATATACATATATCCTTGTATAGTTAGCTTACTGTACAGAATTTAATACAACATTGAATACTGAATGGCTATGCCGCATGACCCGTGTCTATTATTTCATTTGACCAGAAGAGATATATCTTCTACGTTGGGCTCACGTCTTTTGCCGGTCTGAACACACACGTCACAAGAACACGCACACGCATACCTGAAACTGAGATCAGTTTGTGACAGTCATCTCAGTGTTTAGACCTCATTAATGAATCTTCTCACATCTAGGTCGGCTATAGCTTTGGTAATAATTAATATTTGAAACAAATTGTTACCACGCATTTCTTTTTGCAGTGGACTTTATATCAAGTGTTCATATTTCACAACATTCCTTGCTTGACATAACTGTGTCCTTTGCTGGCTCTGTGGCATCATGCAGAAAACATACTTGCTACATTGTCTTTTTCTTTCTAATACTTTTAGTATCAGTTAAGTATGGTCAATTAAGAATTAGCCTTATTCCTCAACAGTCGTATACTTTCTTCTGAGTGGCGAATGACAGAAGTGTTGTATTGAGGCAGAAATTATTAGCCCAGCGGATAAGTGCAGTTTTTTCACTGAATTGTGCACTTTGTGTTACAAGCATGAAATTTGGCATGATTGTAGCTTATACCCTTCTTATTAAATACATATCGAGAGGCCTCGCAGATTTTTTATATTTTTCATATCTGTTGAAAATGGATGTTGAAATGAAACAAGTTTGTGTTGATTTTGATATGTATTTTTATGACTGACGGACTGAGTTTGGTTTTACGCCGCTTTCAGCAATATTCCAGCAACATCACGGCGGGGGACACCAGAAATGGGGTTCACACATTGTAACCATGTGGGGATTCGAACCCGGGTCTTCGGCGTGACGAGCCAACGCTTTAACCATTAGGCTACCCCACTGCCCCTTGTATTTTTCTAAGTGATCTGTTGCCAACCAAGCTCATACATTAAACCTGTAAGTAAATCTAATGATATATTCCTTCAAATAAATTTCCATCTTTACTCACAATATTCTAGATACATAATTAATGAGGATTTGAAATTGAGTTAAAATAAAAAAAAAAAATTTCAATTCTGCCCCTCCTCTCCCCAAAAAAGAAAAAGAAAAAGAAAAGAAAAGAAAAATGGCCCAAATCTGCTAGGCTTCTCGTATTGAATTTGGAAAGAAATGATAAAAATATGTTATATCATTGGTGATCTCATACTTATTTTACTGATGTAGTCTGATGTAGTCTATTTTGAAAAATGGCTGCCAATTTTCCCATTTTCGGGTAGTCATGATACTGATATTGACTTTCGCAGACCTAACCGTTAAAGATAAAAGGCATGTATAGATGGATAAAGATCAGCTATTAGCTATGAATTCCCTACAATCTGATATATGGCTTATGAGAATTTCGAGAATTTTAAAAGAAGTTATGATGAAAATAGTAGAAAAAATTATTATTTTTTTCACTTTTCCCCCCAAAATTATGAAAAATATAAAAAATCTGCAGGTCTCTCGATCTTTATTTAATGAGAAGGGTATAAGCTACAATCATGCCAAATTTCATGCTTGTAACACAAAGTGCACAAGTTGATCACTTATCCGCTGGGCTATATGGGTGCTTCTGTCATGAGAAGATTTACTCAAAATCAATGGGCAGTATCAGGAAGTGTCATCTCGTCTGCGACACTTCATGTGATCCACACACACACACCCTTGTCCTGTAACGCATTCCATTCGATACTTCTGTGGTAGTCACAAATTAAATCGGTTTATGTTATAATGTTTGTGCATAAATTATACACTTTTTACAACTTCCCCAACTTAAATCCAACATACTGTACAGTCCTTACTAAGTTAATAACGAGTTGAACGAATTTACTTTCCGTTAACTCTATCATACATGTACGTCACCTCATATAGTTTCTTTTCACTCAACTCTTTCACACGTGACCGCGTTTATGGGAATTGTGCTTGTAACTAACTCACTGAACAATTACTGCAGCCAGTTTTGGAACCTCCACTATTGATTTATACTTTTATACTGTATATGTTACAGCAATATGGGGACGGCCACACACAATGTAATGTCCTATTTTCCTATTGGAAACACGAGGCCAGTTGATGTGACACTTGGATGTCAGGTTGACAAGGAATGTGACCTGCTGTTACTTGGGTGTGGGGATGTCAGGAACGTCCTACACACCATTCACAAGCTTCAGACAAGAGGAACCACAAAAGCCAAAGATCAGACAATCAACATCCACCTCAATGACATTGGAGACAGTATCTTGGAACGCGATCTGATTTTGATCTACCTCGCTGGAACAATTGATCCAAATAACTCGGAAGATTTGAAGTTTCTTTGGGGAGTCTGGTACGATGTCTTGTTGTCACAGGAACACCTACAGAGGCTGAAGCAAGTGATGAAGGAAGTGTCGTTAGTCCAGTCAGGCAATAATGGGGTGTATTTTGGAAATATGAAAAGTGAAGTCTCCATCAAAAGGGCTCTTAGTGGTATGGAGAAAGCTGAAATGAATGGTAAACAAATCACAGATACAAGATGGGAAGCCCTAAACCGTCTGTACAGAACTGACGTCCCAAAGTTAATCATGGACTGGACAACAGGACAAATGGTCCGTCCTAATGTGGACCTACCCCAGGCAGCAGTAGATTAGATTACACAGAGAATGAGTGCCCAGTGCGGTCACCTTGACAAAGTACAGCGACTCAAGGACAGGTATGTCACCTACTCATTATCATACGAACCACGTCTCCATATGTTCATCTAGCAGTCCGGTGGGACATCAGAGTAAAATACACATACGACAGTGATTTTTCGATATTTCAAACATTGCTTCAATCATATATCTATATATTTATTCTATTCTATCCTTTTCCCTACCGATTGATTCCGTAATTGGTCAAATCAATGGATTCCTTGAGAACGACCGGAAATAAATAAAAATGTAAACAATGACATAGAGAATTAATTCTATATCGCTGCCACCCTTGTACAACATACTAGCAAATTTTAATATAATGGGCTTTAAAGTTCAAGAGAAGTCCGCCTCAATGCTATAATTGCGATGGTGTGACAGTTGTAAGGTGACCTTCACCTTTGTCTGTATGTTAGGATAATTGCCATATCTACACATGTCATATCCGACAGTTTCTTGGCTATTGAAAAAATATTTATCCTACGTACTAAAGACTGCCAGAAGGCATGATTTAGGCAAATAATGTAACAGACATATTTACTATACATACATACTAAGTACAGTTGTTTCATATGACCTTGAGTTATTGACAAGCGTCAGTGCCTATTTCTCTTGACATAATACAGTATATTTTTGTGTGAAGAAAACAATATCAATAAATCGACAATAATTTAATAGATCGTTCCCCAAATCCTTAAAAAAGGACTAATATTACCCCATCAATAGGCTTGTGTAACTGCAAATGACAAATCAGTGGTTCTGGGTATGGGATCCTTTCAGGAGGAGCAGAAGGAAATAGGTAAACATTTTATATGTTCGACACGAGGACAATGTCCTTGCTGCGACTCGTCTGTTTGTTTAAGGGGCCTAGTGGTTAAGGCGTTCGCCCGTCAAGCCGAAGACCCGGGTTCGATTCACCATCGTTTCAAGGCACAATGTGTGAAGCCCATTTCTGGTGTCGCCCGCCGTGATATTGCTGAAATATTGCTAAATGCGACGTAAAGCTAAACTCTCTCACTCTGTTTGTTTGATATGTTTCTTTAATATGAGCAGATACCATCAGGAGATCCGCGACTATATCACAACTGGAGTTACGAGGGTCAATTTACAATCGCTCTCGTCTAAACGGGTGGTGGATAGCTTCAGTGGCAACATGACCCTGTTGAGACCTGGATGTAATACATGGGCTGTCACTGACGACTGCTGTCCATACTTTTCTCACGACATCGACCTGGAACTCCACAGGTATAGAAACATTATTAAAGAGTTATTTTGTTTTCACACAGCAAATATGTTAAGAGAGATGTATTTCTATGCATTTACGCGGTCGTGCATACAAAGTTGTCGTTGCTATATATTTTTTGTATGCTCACGTCGACTGTGGTCAAACCTAGGTATGATGGGTGTAAGGTGACTCTCGCCTCCCTCTGCATGGAGATGCTAAAGAAGTGGGTGGAATGTTTCCAGGCAGCAATGGAAGAAAGCTGTGTTCTCAAGGTACAGACGCTATACTGAATGAAAGTATAACACGATTTAGGTTGAAACAAGAAACAGCAGTATTTTCGACGCCATTCATAGATATCCTCCTAGCACGCACGCACCGGCGCACACACGCACATTCCGTCGCTAAAACAAACGTTTGAGAACGTTGTTTAAAAGCTCCTAATGTATCCCTAATGTAAAACTAAACTCACTCACTTATCACTCACTCACTCACTGTTAATGTTGTACTGTTTTGTAGATCTACATGTGGCTGGGAGAGGCAACTGAAGTGTGCGATAAGGACCTACCTGAAAGTCTCCGGTTTGACTTCATCGATACATCCAATGTGGCAGATAAAATCGGTCTGGTCTCTGTGCTGAGTTGTTCTCGCGACAGACTGAAACAGCAAGTATCCAATTAATGTTGCCTGACCAAATCAAAAATGTCAGAACACTATAGTACCAACCAGTAATGAAAAGAAATGGGAGACAATGTATCGAAAGATGTCATGGGTCCACAATTCTCTTTGTAGAATTTTATCTTCCAGTTGTGCCACACAATCATCGGTTCGAACCCCTTTCTTCCCAATCACCCTCGTCATGCGTTTCAGTGGTGCAGGGTAAAACCTGCAGGAGGTTCCCTGGCAGACCCGCCTCCAATAGCAAAAGCACAGTTCGTAGTGGCGTTACATTCACTAACTCAATCTTTCATGTTAATCTGCTTAATATATTACTGTTCAGGCCTAACGGAGTGCTGAGGACAGAGAGTTTTGACTACACAAGATTAGAAGGCGTCGTTTCAGTGGAAAGGTATCTTTCTGGCTGCATTGATGTGCCAGTGTTGATGTATCCGACAGTGTTTGGTTTACACCTAGCTGAAGAACTCTCTCTTGGACATGAGTAAGTACCCGAGATTGCTTTGTTACAGCACAAATGTAGGACAATTAATACAGATCATGTTTGCACAAATTGACGGAACATACGGTCGAACACATGGTGCCATTTCTAAAGAACACCTGTGTTCACCAACGCCACCTCACTTGAAACCTAAATTGAGAATAAAAAGTGTCAAATATCGGCAGAGATAAAATCCACTTTGCGTAAAAGGCCGTGATGATTCTATCAATTATGGTTAATTTGCGTAAATGTTGTTGGTTATGATTCGTGACACAAATTGACCTTGACCAAGTACCCTGTCACTTCACGGACCAGGAGTGTCCCGCCAACTCAGTTTCCCCTACGTACAAAGTTGACCTTGAAATGGAAAACAGCTCGGGAGCAGAAAAATCTAACAGCTATTACACTTGATGAAAAAGGTATGTGACCAAAGACGATTAATCTAAAATATTTCTCCGTACTGCTTATATATACATAAATCTATCTATAAAAAGTCAACGACAAAACGTTTGTCAGACATACGATTGACGTCCACATTTTTCTGAGGAGGGGTCGATGTTGGGTGACAATGTTTGAGGTCGATGTGCTGGATGGGGTCGATGATTGAGGGCGATGTGGGGGACGGGGTCGATGTTGTGTGACGATGTTTGCGGGCGACTTGCTTGATGGGGTCGATGGTCATAGGTTGATGTGTGAGGGCAATATGGGGAATGGGGTCGATGTCGGTGACGATGTTTAAGAGCGATGTGGGGGAGGGGGTCGATGTTCAGGGGTTGATGTTTGAGGGCGATTTGGGGAGGGTCGATGTTCAGGTGTCGATGTTTGAGGGCGATTTAGGGGAGGGGGTCGATGTCGGGTGACAATATTTGAGATTGATGTGTGAGAGGTGATCGATATTGGGTGACGATATTTGAGGTCGATGTGCTGGATGGGGTCGATGTTCAGAGGTTGATGTTTGAGGGCGATATGGGGGATGGGGTCGATATCGGTGACGATGTTTGAGGGCGATGTGGGGGAGGGTCGATGTTCAGGGTCGATGTTTGAGGGCGATGTGGGGGACGGGGTCGATGTCGGTGACGATGTTTGAGGGCGATGTGGCGAGGGGGTCGATGTTCAGAGGTCGATGTTTGAGGGCGATGTGGGGGACGGGGTCGATGTTGTGTGACGATGTTTGAGGGCGATGTGCTGGATGGGGTCGATGTTCAGAGGTTGATGTTTGTGGGCGATATGGGGAATGGGGTCGATGTCAGGTGACGATGTTTGAGGGCGATGTGGGGGAGTGGTCCATGTTCAGGGGTTGATGTTTGAGGGCGATGTGGGGGAGGGAGTCGATGTTCAGGGGTCGATGTTTGAGGGCGATTTGGGGGAGGGCGTCGATGTCGGGTGACAATATTTGAGGTTTATGTGTGGGAGGTGATCGATATTGGGTGACGATGTTTGAGGTCGATGTGCTGGATGGGGTCGATGTTCAGAGGTTGATGTTTGAGGGAGATATGGGGGATGGGGTCGATGTCGGTGACGATGTTTGAGGGCGATGTGGGGAGGAGTCGATGTTCAGGGTTGATGTTTGAGGGCGATGTGGGGGAGGGTCGATGTTAGGGGTGGATGTTTAAGGGCGATTTAGGGGGAGGGTCGATATCGTTAGACAATATTTGAGGTTGATGGGGAGGTGATCGATATTGGGTGACGATATTTGAGGTCGATGTGCTGGATGGGGTCGATGTTCAGAGGTTGATGTTTGAGGGCGATATGGGGGATGGGGTCTATGTTGGTGACGATGTTTGAGGGCGATGTGGGGGAGGGGGTCGATGTTCAGGGGTTGATGTTTGAGGTCAATGTAGGGGAGGGGGGCGATATTGGGTGACGATATTTGAGGTCGATGTGCTTGATGGGGTCGATGTTCAGAGGTCGATGTTTGAGGGCGATGTGGGGGACGGGGTCGATGTCAGGTGACGATGTTCGAGGTCGATGTGGGGAAGAGGGTCAATATTGGGTGAGGATATTTGAGGTCGATGTGCTGATGGGGTCGATGTTGGGTGACGATATTTGAGGTCGATGTGGGGTCGATGTTTAAGGGCGATTTGGGGGAAGGGGTCGATATCGTTAGACAATATTTGAGGTTGATGTGGGGGAGGTGATCGATATTGGCTGACGATATTTGAGGTCAATGTGCAGGATGGGGTCGATGTTCAGACGTTGATGTTTGAGGGCGATATGGGGGATGGGGTCTATGTTGGTGACGATGTTTGAGGGCGATGTGGGGGAGGGGGTCGATGTTCAGGGGTTGATGTTTGAGGTCAATGTAGGGGAGGGGGCGATATTGGGTGACGATATTTGAGGTCGATGTGCTTGATGGGGTCGATGTTCAGAGGTCGATGTTTGAGGGCGATGTGGGGAAGAGGGTCAATATTGGGTGAGGATATTTGAGGTCGATGTACTGATGGGGTCGATGTTGGGTGACGATATTTGAGGTCGATGTGCTGGATGGGGTCGATGTTTGAGGGCGATGTGGGGGAGGGGGTCGATGTTGTGTGATGATGTTTGAGGGCGATGTGGGGGAAGGGTCAATATTGGGTGACAATATTTGAGGTTGATGTGGTGGATGGGGTCGATGTTCAGGGGTTGATGTTTGAGGGCGATGTGGGGGAGGGGGTCGATGTCTGGTGACAATATTTGAGGTTGATGTGGGGGAGGTGATCGATATCGGGTGTCAATATTTGAGGTTGATGTGGGGGAGGTGATCGATATTGGGTGACGATATTTGATGTCGATGTGCAGGATTGGGTCGATGTTCAGAGGTTGATGTTTGAGGGCGATATGGGGGATGGGGTCTATGTCGGGTTACGATGTTCGAGTCGATATGGGGAAGAGGGTCAATATTGGGTGACGATATTTGAGGTCGATGTGGTGTATGGGGTGGGGTCGATGTTGAGAGGTTGATGTTTGAGGTCAATGCGGTGGATGGGGTCGACGTTCAGGGTTTGATGTTTGAGGTCAATGTGGTGGATGGGGTCGATGTTAAGGGGTCGATGTTTGAGGTCAATGTTGTGGATGGGGGTCGATGTTCAGAGGTTGATGTTAGAGGGCGATGTGGGGGATGGGGTAGATGTTAGGGGACGATGTCGGGGATGCATCTGGGGACGACGCCGGAGAGCGGTTTGGGGACATGATGTTGAGTGACGATGTTAAGGGGTGATGTTAGGGACAATGTTGTTGTTTCCCCAGTTCCAGTTCCCTCATATGTTTTATACTATATTTGGTTTTATATGTAAGGTACTTAAAATAATTTTTTCAGAACATGCAGGATGAATATAAAACTATTTGCCGTATTGTAAAACATAAAAAAGATTATTGATAGGCATATATTTCAGCATCAGACGCAGTATCTGCAGCACTTGAAAAGGTGAAAACATGTCCTGGTTTAGACGGTCAAGGCCCCTTAGGACATGTCATAAAGGCGTGCGTCAAAGGTGCAACGGAAAATATTCTGCAAAGGGTTCAGAATTTTGCTAAAGGTAACTCTAGCGTCGTTATGGAAACAAACTCCTGATTTCTATTTGTCGAAAAAAATCCTCTCCTCAAAGGTATACAACGTCGTCTGAAAGTCGGAAAGGTTTCCATCCATCTTTCTAAAATGTCTCTACATATTTAGAACTTATTCCCAAGGTAATGTTGTACGTTGACAATAATTCAGTCATTTCTTTTAAATAATCATATTTAGGGCTCCTTGCCACAAGGCAGGAGACCTATTGGAATCGTTAATGTTTTTATTATTTATTATTCCGCCGTATTTTGTACCAGCCCTACAAAAAGCACCGCTGGACAGAATCGCTTGAAAAAAATTACCATGGTGCCGACAGTGCTGAAGTCGTTTCTGCAAAAATCTCAAGGCTCTAGGCCCAATAGCAAAGGGGAGATAATTCAAAATTAATTCAAATTTTTCAATTTCCAAAGCAATAATCTCCGAAACTACAAGTCCGATGACTACCACATTTCTGGAGCAGGTCTGGAATCCGATTACCTTCATTTTCAACTGCAGGATCCATGGGGCTAGGAGGCACCGTTTGGCCGCCATATTGGATTTAAGGAAATTTCACACGTTTTTGACGGGTAGGCATTTCCTGTCATCCGCATGTCATGTGTGTGCATCTGATAGCTGATGTCCTGGCGATTCCAGAACACTAATTGTTTTAACTGTAGGCCGACGGACAACGGAGCTACAGTCTCTCAAAGAGGGAACTCTTTCTTCTCCGGAACTTCTTAAAAGGTACATGACCCCACGACCTCGGCTGTATTTGGAAGATCCGCTCGCCTGTCAAAAACGTGTTCTGGCTCTGTTTTGGACGATTTAAAGCCCTCAAATACGTTTCAAACACCCCTAACTCTGAAACCAACTGTCCGATTTCGACTAATATTTACCTGTACATGTAGGCTGTTAGTTCTGATCATATCTGCCGATTTCAGTAATGTATCTCCCAACACAATAGTGGGACAAATGATGATATTTTCCACACTACAGTTGCTATCTGTGCACAATGAAAGTTAGCAGTATGTGTCCCAAACGTTTGCTGATGTTCTATAGTGCATGTGGATAGTAACACCGTTTGCTACATATGTTGTTCATGCTTGTTCGAGATAAATGAAATAGCATGTATCAAATGTACAGTAAATAATAACAAGAACAAGAAGTTAATTGGAAAGTACAGAAACAATGTGATGATAAAGGCTTACATGTAGAAGCCAGTGACAATGGATTACATTTATAAGCCAGTGGGATGTACAGAGCAGGAGAGGTTGGACATGTTTATACATGTTATCCAAGCAGTTAGGGTTGGTTCATGAGTTCGTCGTATGCTGAGGGGATGAAATAATCTTGATCTCTGTTGATCAGGGGTCGGTGTCGTTTGATGTGGATGGCATAAGTTAATATCCGTTTGGTAAAGCCAGATTGTTTGCCAGGTTTGCTGGTGTATTCTGTATTTGGTGATTGAGGTTGGTGTGAATGTCTTCTGAGATAGCTGATTTGTTGTCGAATTTGTTTGTTGATGCCTGGTGCTCTTTCACTCTGGTGTTTAATGGCCTAGATGTTTTGCCAATGTAAGAATCTACATCGAAAGTGTCATTATCCACACAATACTAAAAATCCTTTGTATCCAACGCATCTAACCCTGGACCATATGAATTCAAAGTTAACGAATGACGAATTTCCCATTACTGGTAGTGATATGATCCCTATCAACTGTAGCCATTACTACTATCAACATCTACATCACAGGTACAAGTGGCTAGATTGTATCAAACCCAAGGAGCCCGACATCGCTGCTCGCAGCTATATTTTATCCCTTAAAATGCTTCCAACAAAATTGAAAATTCTCAAATGTAAATAGCGCTTAAACTCTTTCTTTTCTTATTTATTGCTGTAACCACGAGATCCACTCTTCCCATTTCATAGTTCGATTTTAATTGTTTTAAAACCTGCACTTATAAGCAACCAGATGCATCAATTTTCTTAGTCTCGAGTGCGGCGTAAGACTAAACTCACTCACTCACCTTAGTCATGATGTTGATACTCATCCGTAAAGAGACGCAATATGTGTAAAGAAATCAGTTTATACACATGAGTGAAGTGATAAATATGTTTCATTTTATGACACTGTGTCAGTCTGATTGCATTATGGGCGAGGGCCTCTTTACTGTATAAATATTTTGTGTCTGTCTGTCATTTAATGACATTTAAATATACACCTTAACATACCTATCAGTATTAATTATCACTCCTATTCACAGATTGTATACAATGAACAAACTATTTACAACACTCTTACATGTTTGAAATAATCACCTTTTTAAGGTTGCGTGTTAGAGTTTCTGAAGTATCGTGAATACCCACACTATCTGTAATTTGATTCGACGTGATATAATGATGTGCATGAATTGCAAACGATTTCGTAGCAAGTGATTGGTAACCCGCCCAATCATTTATTCATGAACCGAAAGATATGTACGCCACGCCCACTGAGGGGTTGCTGATTCGTGTATAGCTCAACACATAATGGGCGGGACTGTGCTGCTTATGCATAGAACGATACTACTGACTTCGTACTGTTTTCTCAGAGGTTTTGTGCTTCAGATTAAACAAGTCGTACGCGTGTATTCATCAGTTACAATTGTATATATATAATGGTATAACATAGTCTAATGAATTGTATTGTTTATACTTCACATAAACACAAACATCTGATGCCAACCTGTGAATTCAACCCACAGCCCCGACGAAGAGCAATGTAAGTACATTTTACATGATTATGATTGTAACGTGTTGATTTCTGAATAGAAGTAATAGTTAGCACTCAAATCTGTAACAGTGAACAACAAACACTAAATTGCAACGAATTTTATGAAATTAATAATTGTATTTGGAAAATATCAAGGTTTACATATCAATGCATATTACTGCAATATCATGGGTATGTACAATAGCGGTTGTAGATACAACAACGGTGGTATATACAAACTCGGTGGTATATACAGCAGCAGTGGTATATATTGACGTAACATCCTTTGCACAAACTAACATTGAAGTTGTATATTATCATCCTTTGCACAAACTAGCTATTTCAACAATCCTGCAAGAATTAGAAAATGTGTTCAACGTACCCCCAAAAATATCACAGAAATAAATAGGCCTATTACAGCAAGTTTAAAAGCTCAAAAACATTCTCCGCTTTACAACGACATGCAAAGTGGTTTACTCACGGTGTGTCAGCAGTATTTGTGAAGAAACCTAAAGTGATCCAATTCCTGGGATCAGAGTGGTGAGCAGAATATATGTTTTTATTGAAACAGCTTTTCAATCGTTCTCTTGATATTTTTATCCTACTTCATCAAACAAAATTCGATTCTGTTTATAATAATCCCAGGTCGTTATTAATTTAAAAACAAGAGACTGTTAACGCTACATATACCAAGGTTTACACTGTTTACAGACCCTGATTGAGTACACAGATCATTACCTTGTGATCATCCAAACCGACCCAGAATGTCTGAAGAAGGGGATATTCAGCATGGATTGTGTAGATGGAGATCCATATGTTATAGAACTACAGAACAGCCACAATGGGTGAGTTTTTGTTTTGAGTCTATTCATGGTAAAACGAAAATGATACAACTTGCAATGCGTGTGGACTTAACACTGTTTCCTCCACAGCCCTGTGAACTGCTTTAGATGACTGAACACGTTGATTTTAACCTTTTCAAGGTGCAAGGTGAGGTAAGTTATTGTTCTATTTGTCCTTATTAAACAGGTAAAAGTAGCATGGTCCAAGTTTTTATACCAATACGACTCTTGACAGGGATAGAGATGTTTTCTTAACACCTACAAAAAGGCGAAATTGTTTTTCCGCGCAATACCAGATGTCCGAAAGACGTAATGTCATTAGAATAGTAATTCTTACAAACCGATTCATTTGGAAAAAATGATAGATGAGTGGTAAAAATATATAAACGGACCACTGTAATCTCAAATAAACTGAAAACCAAAATGGCCAAAAAAATGATACTATTGTATTCGTCATACTGTTGGCAGTTGCCGTACTGCATGTACTAAATCGTGCAGCTGTTGCCCGGAGTGTCCATATTGGGTGTCTATTGTTATGCTCTGTGGATTATCATGTCATGCCTCAATGTATTAAAACGTTACTATATGCAAGATAGGCGGTAGTATGGAACTGTTTTCAGGCGTTGAAAAAAGTTCGTGTACCCATCCTTAACTATATTCACATGCGCGGGGCGATGGGGTAGCCTAGTGGTTAAAGCGTTCGCTCGTCACGCTGAAGGCCCGGGTTCGATTTCTGGTGTCCCCGCCGTGATATTGCTGGAATATTGCTAAAAGCGGCGCAAAATCCAACTCACTCACTCACTATTCACACGTGCTGTAACGTCAGTGCCAGAGGAAAGCCAGTGTCGATAGCATTGACCATTTTACCTGTTTTATGCTATCGTAGTGGCGGGATGTTGAAGGAAATGATTCAGGTGTTAAATGATTCCAATATCTATCCAAGGTTTCCTTAATGTTGTGCTTTTCGTGCTTCAGACAATCTAACTTTAGAGAAACGCTCAGTCTTTCATGTGGAATAGCTTTGAACACAAGCAGCGTTAAATTTTCAAGAAAGAGGGGGGAAATTGAAGCTCGTCTTGTCAAGGACACTGACGTGACTGTCGGCGAACGAGTTTTGCCCTGGAACAAGCTCCACACAAGCTCTGTTGCTGATCTCCCGAACTTTCCTCTCTCAGAAAGTGGTAAAGAAACAATAAAGACGTACGTTGGAAGCATGTGCCTCTCGTCTCCAGCAAGTCTGTCACACCAAAGACTGTCGCCCAAACGACAGCTGAGATTACTTGTGGGGCTCATCTTGATAAAGTCCCATTTTCAATCGGGGTAGGTGTTTTGTGAATCTAATATCAATTCTTTCTACAACGTGAAGCTTTGGGCGTGCCAAATATCAGCTTTTTGTTCGTTAGTCTTTTGTTGTTATATTGTACTGAGCAATGGTACGGTTTGATACTTGTACTATACTGAAATGAAATAAACAAAACACATTATTTAAACAATTGGATAGTTATGCCAGTTACTTGCGAAATAATAGCTGATTTAACTGTAGGATTTGTTGCTAAAGAGTGACAGAATTCATGATAAAAGTAAAATATTATCTAAGAGGATGTATTTTCCATCTGTGTATGCACTGGTATATGAAGTGAAATACTGGACTTTCATTCTTGCCTTTGCATGTTTTCTTCATAGCTGCCAACACTCATCACGATTGGAGCTCAAAGTGTCACAAATCCTGACAAGAGAGCAAACAACATGCTACGTTTGGAAGATCTGAAGATCCACGAGAACAAACCTACCCTTTTTTTGACGTTTTTCGATTTTGACAAAGCTGATAATCTGGTTAGCCAAAAGAAAGTCATGGATGAAGAAATCTTACCATGGAAACAAACGAAGAAGGCATGTGTGGGAATGGACCCCTCATCTTCTCCAAATGTCAGCAAGGTAAATATTACTGATATAAACAAAATGAGATACTGCAGTCTAACTGATTATACCAGACAGCTGGCTCTATGTGTTCAGTGTATGTACAAGGAACTTGTGGTAACCTATTCTGCTCCCTATGTTGTGCTTATTGCACAATATTCAGCGTATGCTCACTCAGCTATATGCTAGTGGCCGCTAAATACGTCTAAACCAGACCATCCAGTGATTGACTGGTGTTCAGAGTAACCGTCTATGTTGTCAGATTGTGCAATAAAGCTCGTAGAGATAATTGTGACAACATAAATTTTATCTAATATTTGTATTGGGAACATTGGATTACACAACGAAGTTTATATTTATAGCATCAACATGGTAACCTTCGTGTCCATGATGATTGTGAATGTGTGCTTGTCATTGACAGGGATATGCTTTGTTGGTGAAGCTTCTAGAAGTCAACTCCATCCGAATGATTCAAGATCAGCCTGAGGACAGAAGATGGATGACAAGAACCATCCTGAGAGCGAGATATCCTTACAAGGAACTATATGCTTTGACGTTAGAGGAAGACATGGCTGAAATGTTTAGTTCTCCTTGTAAGTATATTGGAAACGTAGTATAGGAGTTTACAACGCACTGAGTAAATTGCATGTGCTTTGCTTATGGGCCTTAGAGTTCCTAATTCTGTATAATTTCGTAGTTTAAGGTGGTCCGGAGAAAGGGACAAGAGGACATTGGACCGGAATCTGTTAATCTTCCCGCCAAGCCCTGGTGCAGTTTGTGACAGTTGTGGTAGATCTCAGAAGACTTTAAGGTGTTCCGGATGTAGCCTGGTGTTCTACTGAGACAGAGTGAGTGAGTGAGTTATTATTTAACGTCACATCGGCAATATTTCAGCCATATCGTGACGAGAACATATGTGACATTGAAATGGAATAGAAGTATATTATAAAAACCTGTCGACGAAGGACAGTAAAACAACTAGATACTGAGACAGAGAATGAAACAGGAAAGCCTGGACAGTTCACACGAATGTCTGTAAACCTGCCTCAACACATATTCCATCTTGAGCCTCACCTGAAACCAATAGTGATACTGTGTGTAAGGTTAGAATGTAGATGTGCTACCGTCGTTTGAAAGGGACTGTGGTTTCGCAATGTGCAGACCCACGGGTGTTTATGTCAAATATCTAGGTATAGTTCTGAGAAAGTTAAGATAATAGTTTTAAAGTAAAGACCTACAACAAATCAATAACTTCGAACTTTTGCCATTGTCACAATTATGTTTTGGCTTGCAATATATCATTATTACATCGGATAAATAAGTTGTCTTAGCATCGGTATATTAGTATGTTATCTTATAAAAGTGACAAGTGCCTATGAAACAGTTTGTTTGTTTTTTATGTAAAACAGGGTCATGTGAAAAAGGAAAAACACACGGCCAGGGTGACTGAGAAACATGCCACCTCTGTGCATACTTGTTGAATTGATCTCGTCGTCTATAACTGTCCCTACTTGATACCTGCCAGTGATGTCATTATGTTACAATCAGATAACATTTGTAATCATGCAAAATCAAGAGGAGTGAGTGATTCAGCTATAACTCACCAGCATTTGGTCAGATGAGACCAGCAGTTGATGTTAACGATGACACACAACTATCCAAATACGACAGACTTTGGTCCTGGGGATGTAGTATGAAATCCCAGTAATTTACATCTATGTACAATCTATGTAATTTATGTGTTTATTATAATACGCATTTCCAACTGATGAATACATTGTCGATGTTCCGTGTTTGACATTATTACCTTAAAAGGAATGTTTTTGGATCACATTTCTTGACAACGATACAAATGAATAACAGCAAAAAATATGAAAATAATCAACACATAAAAGATATAAATATGTCTTTAAATATAATTAAATGAATAAGATGATAATTGGACATTCAACATTTGTTTAAAATTGGAATACTTTGAGGTACAAAAGACGTTTGAGCTCGTTTAGTCTTGGTGATTGGCACTGTGTAGCGGCGATCCAAAGGTAAAAGCTTATACTCTTGATTTGAGACGTTGAATGTACTTGCCGCTCATAGGGAAGTGAAAGATTATCGAAAGTGATCCCGGCAATTTTATCACATTGACAGATAATGTAAGTATTTCATATACGTATCTGTGTAAACGCCGTACTAAATGCAATATTAAGTGATCATATCCGAATGTAATACAAGGGTAGTAATTCTATCAATAGCTAGCCATGAAGAGATTATATATTTGCGGACGTTCAAATAAATATGCTGAAATTCGGTCCCCAAGTATATGTTACGTTGATGTATCCTTTGCTGCGCGAGACGTTTTAGATCATCTAAATATCATGATAATGTTGGTATGGCGACAGGCCAAACATCCAGGGAATATCTAAGAATGGCCTAGAAGCACACATTAAGTATATGAACAGTGGTAAATTCATATTGGACGATTTTAAAATCATGACATTGTTCACAATAACTGAAACATACCCATAACATAACTGCCCGTCAAAGTCAAACTTATATTACTGGGAATACGTGGTGAGACGTTTCATATTCAGACAGCACGCATTCCAGGAGAATAAGGACACCTGAATGTTCCTTTACATCGTTAACCCTGACTTTTTACCAAACTTGTGTTTGATTAACTGATAGGTATTTTTCATGTAGGTAATTTGTGTAATAAAGTCAGTTGTATCTTTTATTTCTGCCTCATTGAAATCAAAATGGTGCTCCGTTTGTTGAAGGGGTGCGGGGTTTTAGGGGGTCGGGGTTTGAAGGTTCACGGGTAAGATTGAGGACTTGTGAGAGTAGATAGACCTGAAGGGGAAGTAGGGAGAGGATGAGAGGGATGCTGGACACTATACCCTCCACCTATCCTCCGAGGTCATTCCATTCCCACCTGGAGAGAATATTTAGTCGTGAAATAACTTATAAACCCTTTTGTCGATATGCGTATGAATCAGACATGTTGGATTCAGCCTTCACCTACAGCCCTGTGAAGCTAGGGTGTGAAGTATCGGTATTGTATGTGCACCATCCAGCGGGCGACACGCCTG